AATATAATATTTATGTAATAAAATAAAGGTAATAAAGATGTATAACATAATACAACAAATATAAATCAAAACTTTTAGAATTATTATTAATATAATGAACGTTAATAGTCTTTTCTACAATAATTGTTAACATTATTATTACATTGAAAATCTAATCTTAAAAGTGAGTTTATATCCCCCCTATTCAACAATTGTATTTGTTTCATGTTTATATAAAAAGATAGAAAAATTATCCAACTACTTATACATTGGTAATCATTTAATTATCTCAGATCAGTGACGGGCAGTATCAAATGCTTTCATAATTAAAATAAGTGTAAAATATATAATACTTTTATTGTATTTTATATTTGATTAGGTTATTGAATACAAAATACTCCTGTAATTTATATTTAAGAACTCATAGAATACCAAATATAATAGTATTTCATATTTTTGTTTGCTGAAGATACAAAATGTTGTATTTTTGCTGTATATAAAAAATAAATTACTTTCTCAAAATCTCTTTGGTCCAGTTAATTAATATTCACGTGTTGTAGGTCAATAAGAACATACAATTAATTAAACATATTTTATTAATGACACATTAATGTAATTACATATAACTACCTGCGTGAATAATAGTAAAACGTAACGTTAAATGCTTTCATAATTTAAATACAAATTATATTCTTTAAAAGAAGGTAAACATATTAAAATTCTTTTGTACAGTATTGAACTGTAATGTAGCGTAGCATAATATTATGAAATAAATATCATAGATGTATTTGCTTATTTTAATACTGTATAAGAGAGTTCTAATATGTTTACATTCTTTTGAAGAATGTAACACACATTTAAATTACAAAAGCATTTAACATTACCTATCACTGATACCAATGTATTTAGTTTGAGAATAAGTGAGTAAGAGTACTTGTCATATAGTTATGCAGCAAATATAAAACTGTAATGTATTTAGTGTTCATTGAATCAATTAAATATAAAAGATGTGAGTATTCTTTATTAACAAGGACATCGGATAAGAGTATTCTATAATTTGAGCACAAACTAAATTACAAATTAGTAAAATATTTATAATTGGAATACCCTTTGAAATGCGTTTTGCTCATCACGGATTCAAATATTGACTACAGTTACCCTAGTAGAAACTTTACAGGAACATACATAGTTTTATTAAAACAAGTGAAAAATGTAGTAACATAATGCAATGTACATAATGTGAAAATACAGATATGATTAGAATAATAATAGTTATAACAAATATGAACAATATCTTTAATGTTTGGAATTAATGGGGAAAAACATTGTACAGACTATAGATCTATAAAACTTTTAGAAATTTTATAAACTTCTTGAATGATAGCTACTTGAACAACTACTTTCACTGTTTTTAATACATGGTATTTGTCATATACATGTAATATACATATGACACATATATCGAATTATTTTAAAAAGTAGTAAAAGATTACAAACAGATGAGAAATTTTATTGCATTATGTCTTATCTGCTTCTGTTTTACAATAATAATGCTTATAAGTTATAAAAAATTTTAGTTTGTTCATTTAAATTATTTTAAATTTATGCCATTTATGAAATTTACTAATTCTATCGGTTTATTACTAAGCAAAAATGCAAAAAAAGATCTTAATATGTGTTAGTTGATATGAAATTTAGCAAATTCAAGATGCACATAGAAATGAGCTTACCTCATGCACATAGGTACAGCATAACAACCCAGGATTGCATCATATTCAGCTTTTCGAGTGACTCAGTAACCAATTCTCGCATTGAAATGTACATGGTTTACAACAAGACTCTATGGAGTTTTGACAGAGCATAAACCTTCCAAAAAAGAAATAATATCTATCCATTTACTTTTATGCAGTTATATTTTCCACTGTATAATAAATCTCTTATTTTTTATTAATTTTCTACTATTGTTCCATGAAAAACCTTGATAGAATAGTAATTTTATCTTTACAGTATAATTACAGATACACTACTTTCAAGAATAAATCATTCTAAGGCACATGCCTAATCTGGCCAATTTATACCTATTTAAATACAATTATCTCAGTAATACACGTAAACTAATCCCACCAATTTCAAACTTTCATAGTAGAGTGTTATTATTGTAAAATTGAAGCAGATCAGATAAAAATTTATAGAACATTTTTTATTATATTTGAAGTTTCCTACAAATATTTAGAATATAACATATGCTGTGTAGTGAATTAATTATTTCAAAAACTCTGTGGTCTATCTCAAATATTTATCCTTATATGCAATTTTAATGTTTGTTCACATTATTAATTTTACTTTTATAGGTAAATTTCTATATGAATAAGAGTAATAGTAGTTTTAAAATAAGAACAATATGGTAACTATATGTGAAATATGCAGTACTAAATTTACTAATGAAATTTTGTATCCTGAAGTAAATGATATAAATAAAGTGGAAACTAACTAACATGATCTAAAGACAACTAACAAAACATTCTTCAATAACTGCTAAACCAAAACTGATTTTTATATCTTTCTATATTTACGATCCAACTGTAATGTTACCATTAGTATAAGAGTCGTCTCAATTTATTGGGAAGATTTCTTGATAGAGGCTTCTATGCATGAAAACAGTAATTTTTTTTCATAGTTTCCATGTGAAAAATCCACTGTCAAGAGGTCCCTCCAATAAATTGGGACACCTCATACTTTAATACCACCTTGTGATCCCAATATTATAAACAATTACTTTTAAATCATAGTTCAACTAGTAATACTAAATAATTTAGGTATTGCATGTAAAAACTGAAAGCTTGATTCCTGTAACATGTTGGGTCATGTGATACCGTTATATGCATCCAAGTATTTTGAATCTTGTATGTATCTTTATAATAATTCTTTCTCACCAGGTACATGTAATCAAAATCACAGTACTAGTGCATTAATTAATATTTCTTATTGAGTTCTTGGAACAACAGATGCATAATAAATTATTGAGTTGATGCAAAAATTTTGATATTTTTTGTACGTGGTTAACAAAAAAATTTCTTTCTAAATAAATAACATCTGTTTTCAAACTATTATAAGGTATATGAAGGACACTTCTTTCTTTATTGTTACTTTGTTTTGGTTTAGTCAGTGAACAATTGAGAACTCTTTTTATTTCTTGTACAAAAACGTCAAAACTTTTGCATCAACTGAATATATCAATTCTTTAATTTCTTGAAGATATTCAATACACTAAAATATAAACAATTGTAGATGAATTATATGAAATCAATACAAAAGGAACAACTCTCAAATTCCTACAATTATGTTAAAGTATGGCATATAATTTCCAAAAGTCTGTATCTGAGTATGCTAATTCAGCTGAGTTCTGTTATTTGTAAATATGTGAATATAAAAAATATTACATCTCAGTATGATACATTCATTTGTTATTCAAAGTTTTAAAAGATTAAACATTAAAAATGTGTATAGAAAATATTTTTTGTTTAATAAAATGTATTCAGTTAAAGAATTTGAAATGACATAGGACTGCATTTCCTGTCACAAAAGTGTCAATCTTCAAGTTAGTTCATAGCAGATTCAATGTTAGTTCAGATATGCTGATCTCTATATTCCATATATTTAATAAAATTCTCTTAAATTTGTAGGAAATGGACATATTAAGTTTATAACTTTTCTTGATTATTGATTAATTATCAATTGATTTATTTTAATACAAAAAAGATGCTGTGTACTCAAAAAAGCTAAGAATGCCAGAAGATACAAAATAAAAAATGATTACAACAAGTATTACGATTAATTTAAAACTGAAAAGGCTTGTGTAGACAATTTACCGCTTCAATTGCTTCCCATAAAATAAGATTTAATTATAAAATTATTTCACTTGATTATTTAATATCAAATAGCCTTGTATTATAAGTTATTGGAATTATGTATAGATATAAATTTGCTTACTTATTGAAGATAGAAAAAATACAACTTGGTATTTGAAAACATAAATGTAACTTTGAAAATTCTAAGCCATTTTCACCTATAAAAAAATTATTATCAAAATATTAGGTACCATGCAATTTTAGTAATTAGAATTTGTTCATATCTGTAAAAAAAATACAGTAGGTAGATAAAGTTACAGAAAAGATTTGCAAATAATTTGTAAATATTATTAAGTGAAAATATTCATAATAGCTAGAAGAAAACTATAACTTAATTACTATATGTAATGTTTACTAACACTGAATTTGTTAAGTGCGAGTCAATCTGATTATACATCATTAGAATTTTTATGAGATAATAAAAGGCTACTATCTAATTATTATGTTAATACACAAAAACAATTGTTAAAATTCCTTACAACCATAATAATTTATTAGTATCTATAAAAATTCAGTAGCTGTGATACAAACAAAAACTGTGAAGCTACATTTATATAATGTATTTTTTGTCACCATATCTACATTTATTTATGTTTTAAATCATTACACATTAAAATCAATTGTATAATTTTACAATATATAATGTATGCATATCCGTAAAACAAACATCTACAAGATAATATATGTGGAATGTTCTAAAAGTCTCAAATAATGCCTCTGTAACTATGATGATTAACACATATTATCTACTAATATTTAACTACTACTTTTACAAATACTTCATGATAGTAATAATAACAGCTACAATAAAATGTATCAACTTCTATTGATCCATAGATCTACAATAAATCTGAAAAATATTCTCTAACTATTAACATTATGCACATACATTAATAA